GAAAGAAAATAAATTCAATAAGGAAGGGTTTATATTTTGTAAGTGACCCTATGCAGGAAATTAAATACATATAAGCAGATATGAGACAAGAATTGGAAATGTTCTTTGGGTATTCCTTTCAACATTCCCAGTGTTTGTAATGATATTCATTGTAGAGCACTTTCATATCTATTATCCCTCTCTTTAAATCCTTCAAGTATATTAAAAGTTATTTACATATTATACATATTTACAATCCAACTCCCATGAGCCAGTCCAACAAAGTTTCTACAGAAATTGAATATCAATTACTTAAACCTGGATAACTGTATGCCAAAAGTTTGTTTCCCTTTACCTTTTATATTCTGTTCTGTTTTGTAAGTTAATTAATTTATTTATTTCTGGAACGTTTCTCTCTAGGCATTTTATTGCCTGTGTATGCTGCTCAGAGTATTTATTCTCCAATTGTAATTAGCATATTCTCGTTTTCCTCCTTAAATATTTTTTCTTTGTGAGTATAGTTTTTTTTTTTCTATTAAAGTAACTAGGTCTAAAGTCTATGTGCTATCACATTCAGAGTTAGAATTGCCTTATCCCCTCTCCCACCCACTCTCTGCAATTTTTCTCTCAGGCTCATGCATCTTCTTTAAACCCAAACTTTAGCAAGATTTTAAGACACCTGGTTTTAGTTTTGATTTCCCTCTTCCTCTTAGATTAGTTTTAAAGATCCACTTCATGACATCCTTCTTTCCTAATTGCCACTAATATACGAATTGTGTCCACTTCTTTCTTCCTTTAACTTCTACTCTGTCGTCTTTACAAAAACCTTTTTACAGTCTGCACTTCCTTCCATGCTAAATTTTCCTTCAGCAGCGTACTGCCTTCTGCAGTCTCAACATGAGTAGAGAGAATGAGATACTTACCATTTAGCCAATGTTATCTTCCATTTAAATGTTGAAATAGGAAAGGTAATCAACTGTAACAGAAGTCTATTGATAGTGCCTAACCTCATACCTTCAGTGTCAGGCCCACAACACTGTACCAGCAGTGTCTAGCACACAATCTTGTCCCTTCAGTGTCAGGCCCACATTCTGTACCTTCGGTGTCAGGCACATAAGCTGCAGCTTGCTTGAATTTCTCCTGCTGTTCCAGAAGGGAGAGTCTGAAGGACTCTGCACGGGGTTGATACTCATCATCTATAACTAATATTCAAGACAATTAATTCTAGTGTGTGTGAACCACAGGCAATGCACCAATTTTAAAAAGCTCAGCATGCTTTTCTTTTCCAATGTACCTGGTAAATCTTTCCTGTCAACATGTATGACAAGTATTTTTACTGCTCTGTCTTCAAGTTTAATAAATCTTATGACTTCAGCGAATTTCTGTATCAAATTTGCATTTTCTTCTGTTGATTCTCATTCAAAATTCTTTGGCATGAGTTTTTTATATATTTTAAATATTTTCTCCTGTCTGTTTTCTTAATTAGACAACTTTAGCACAAAGGCCTATATCATGAACATAACTGGCTTATCATTTCTCTTTTCCATCTTTGCAGTATACTGCTTTCCAATGTGGAATGCATTTCTCTGAGAAGGAGCATTGGATCCATAGTCAGAGGAGAGGCTAAATGGGTGCTTAACCTCACTCCCCTTGTTGCTTTCATTTCTCTCCCTACCCACCCACTCATATGGGGATGCCTGTCACACTGGCAAACAGAGCATTTTAGCATCCGCGACATCATTCAGCAAAGCTTTCTATTTTCTGAAGGAGAACATAATTATTTGCTTGCTCAAACATAATAAATAGGGACGCTTGAGTGACTCAGTCAGTTAAGCATCTGACTCTTGATCTCAGCTCAGGTCTTGATCTCAGTGTTGTGAGTTCAAGCTTGTCTTGGGCTCCATGCTAAACGTGAAGCCTACTTAAAAAAATAACAATAATAAATAGCCATTCACTGTTCTCCTTTAGAAAACAATTGCATTTCATCAGTCGATTGAACAGCTGTATTTTTGTCCTTGAAAGTTGACTGCTTCTACTTTAAAAATCCTTTAGTGAAACAGACTAACAGTACCAAGTATAATCGAGGTTTAATGATGCTAAATGAAGCCTTCCAACTCCATGCCTTCCCTTTCTAAACCCTTGAATTTTGGCACAATTTCAAGTATATATCCAATAGGCTTGGGAAAATTGTGCCGGAGCCTTAGATGCCTCCCTAGGGGGCATATGGAGCTGTAATCCCTAGTACCAAGTGTCCGCACCTGCCATCAAGAACTGTGCACCCAGTAAGCCCAGCTCAAGCAAAGTTTTTATGTTTTCACACCTGAAATTACTTCCCTCTTCTAATTTCTCTACTTCTGAATTTCTGTACATAAAAATATGAATGTACCATTTCTTAAATATAGGCAGTGTTCTTCACACTGAAGAAATGATAAAACAATTTTCTTTACATTTGTCAATAGTCAGCCCATTGTTGTTATCCCTGGGAAAAGGAATACCAAAGAGGTGAGTACGATGATAATCTGGGCTATGTTTCTATAGGCACTTTCCACACTGTAAGGAAGTTTAGAAAGAAAGATCCAATTTTACTTCTATATATTATAAGTAACAATTTGAAAATATAATTTAAAAAACTATTAAATATTAAGGGATGAACTTAACAAAATTTGTGTATAAAATAACAAAATATTGCTTGAGACAATTAAAGACAACAAAGTAAGTGAAGCACTTTGCTAAGTTTCTAAATTAAAACCTTAAATTGTTAATAAGATTATTGATCCAATTTGTGTATAAATTCAGTGATCTAACACCCAACAGTCACTTTTTATCCCCCCCTCAAGAAATTGACAAGATCCTAAAATTTATATAGAAATGTGAAAGACCTGAAATAGTTCAACAATTTAAAATGAAAGAACAAAGTTGAAAGATTTTTGCTACTTAACTTAATTATTATTATAAGGCTATAATAATTAAGACAGTGTGGTATTAGCATAAGGGTATATATCAATTAAATAGAGATTTCAGAAATAGACTTACATGTAACTGATCAATTTAATTTTGAAAAAGGCAATATTATGGCTCCAGCTAATTCAATGGGAAAAATGATGATAGTCTTTAAAATATTGTGCTCAAAGCTCTGGATATTGCAAAAGTAAAAATAAAAACAAATATTGAACCTTAACACTATATGTCAAAAATGATTCAAAATGATTGTAGATCTACAAGTAAATATATAAAACTATCAAACTCCTACATAGGTAGAAGTTTTCTTAGATTAAACCAAAAAGCAAAAAATATAAAAGAAGATTGATAAAATGGATGTTATCAAAACTAAATTTCCTCTGTGAAAGATACCAATACAAAAATGAAAAAACAATAACACCAACAAATAGAAGCAAGCCGCAAACTGAGAGAAAATATTTGCAATATGTATATCTGATGAAAGACTTTTTTCCATGTTTTATAAAGAACTCTTATGTCAGAATAGCAAACAAACAAAATAAAGAAGCAGGCAAATGGTTTAGAAAATATTAAGCAAAGAGATGTAGAAATGACCAATTCACATAGCAAAGATTTTCAACACCATTAATCATCAGGGAAATGTAAATTGAAGCCACAATGAAATACTACTATACATCCATTAGAATGGCTGTAATTAAAAAGACTAGCCATACATAATATTAGCAAGGGTCTAGAGGAACTGAAATTCTCATACATTTCTGATGGGACTGGAAAATGGCACAGTCACTCTGTAAACTAGCATTTTTTGTTGTTGTTGGGAAGGCTAGAATATTGTTTTGAAAAGTGAAACCTATACATATAACACAGGACCTAGCCATTCCACTCCTAGGTAATACCTGAGAATAATAAAAACATCTATCCACACTAAGATTTGTAGACACCAACTTGTATATAGCAAATTCATGCATAATAGCCCCAAACTGCAGACAACCCATGCGCTTAACAACAGATTAATGAATAAATACTCCGTGGTATATCCACATGGTATACTATATGCCAATAAAAAAAGAATACTACTGCTGCATACTACTGATGTATTCCCAAACATGAATGAATCTTAAAAAGCATTGTATTGAGTAAAAAGCAGGTATAAAAAATAATCCTTTGTAATTCCATTTGTATGAAATTTTAGAAAAAGGCAATTTACCCATAGAGAAAACAGAGAAATAAGGGGGCTTTTTGTGTGATGAAAATATTTTCAATCTTGATTATGATGGTGGTTATACAAGTGAGTCCATTTTATTGTATTTTCCTAATAATGTGAGGGAAAATGTTCCTGCAAATTTCAGGACAGTCTGTTCACTTTTTGTGGAGCAGGGTGCCTATATTTCAAAGGACTGATATTCAGATTGGATGTATCTTATACAATTTCTCCTTGACTAGCTTTCTTCTATCTTCTTTGAAATTTAATTGGTTGCTGATTATTACTACTAGTTTTCAGTGGGATTGTAATTTGACATTTTTTCCTCTCACATACAATTAAAATTTTTTTCTTAAGTTTATTCATTTTTGAGAGAGAGAGAGAGGGATAATGAATAGGGGAGAGGCAAAGGGAAGGAGAGAGAGAATCCCAAGCAGGCTCCATGCTGTCAGTGCACTGCCCAACACGGCCCTCGATCTCACAAATGGTGAGATCATGGCCTGAGCTGAAATCAAGAGTCAGACGCTTAACTAAGCCACCCGGGCACCTCTACAAGTTTTCAAAAATGTTTATTTTGAAAGAGAGACCGACCATAAGCAGAGGAGGGGCAGAGAGAGACAGAGACAGAGACAGAGAATCCCAAGCAGGCACCACACTGTCAGCACAGAGCCTGATGCAGGGCTCAATCCCATGAACTGCAAGATCATGACCTGAACTGAAATCAAGAGCCAGATGCTAAACTGACTGAGCCACATAGGCACCTCTGCAATATTTAAAAATAACTGAGATTGCTAACTAGTAGCCATACCCACCTGAGTGTAGCCTTCTTCTCTAAAACTCAATGGGATTTCTTTGAATTCACAGGGACAAAGTCTGTCTATTCTATTGCATCATTCTTCTGGAACCTTGATAATAGCCAATTCTACTTCCTTAACAGCATCATTGCTTGCAGTTGGTAAGTTTGCCTTAATATGACTTTTCTGCCAAATATTTGCAACAGATTTCTGTTTACCTGAAGCCTTGCTGTGTTCTTGTTTTTCACACATTTTGAATTTTTGAGATGCCTTCACAGCTCTCTATGGATGAATAACTAATTCCAATTGTTATGCTGTATTTTGCCTAAACAGATAGGTCCTTGAGCCTTTTTTAAATCAAACATAAAACTACAAACACCCCAATAGAAAAATTGACAGAACAGGCAAGTTACAATAAACATGAAAGGATTTAACTTCATAAGTAATCAAAGGAATGCAAATTAAACAGTGAGATTCCATATTTGCCTATTGTCAGAAAAAAATAGGAATACTCATTGTTTTAAAAGCTTCAGAGAAAAGACACTGCTAGTGGGAATATCAATTGCTTTCTTAAAGTGAATTTTGAATAGATACTTTTAAAAACCTTAAAATGTATATTATATCTTGCCTAGAAATTCTACCTAATAGCTTTTTCTAAGTAATCAGACAAGGGCACTAATATGTAGGCACAAGCATATTTATCACAATGCTTTTTTAAATGTTAAAAACTCTACATTTCTAATAGTGGTAGTAACTGATGATATATTACATAAATGATGTCTGTCTATTATTTGGTCGTTCAGAAAACTGTTTAGCATTTCACATTGATGTCATGAATTTTGGTTTAAACTATATATGTATATATAGAAAACAATCTAGAAATTAATATATTGAAATGTTAACCACCAATTTCTATGTTGTGAGATTGACCATATATCTATTTTATTTCTTATGTTTTTCTCTATTTTTCAAAATGTCTAAAATCCATATGTAATGCTACTCTTATATTCAGATTTTAGACATATGATTAACTCTGTATCCCATAGGCCTATTTCGTACCTCTTGGTTTCTTTGCAATCTGTCTGCATTTGGTCTCATTTGCATTCATCCAGACTGTTTAGGATATTCCTTAAGAAGATAAAATATCATGTGACTTTCCCATAGGTTTTTGGTGACTTGTTTGTTCCCAAGTTCAAGCTACTTGCTTAGTGCATAAAATCCATCCTACTCTAGTTGTAATCTGCCTCTTCAACCTCATCTTCAGTCATTGCCTCAATCCTAATTTAGTCTATATCGTAAATTCCCCATCATCACCTTTCTCAGCCTCATGCTTTTGTGCATGTGCTTTCTTATTTCTGAAGCATCATTTCCTTTCAAATTATTATGCCTGGCACACTACCCATCCTATATATCTAGTTAAATTGAAGATTGCTGTGAAAACTTTCCCAGATATTCCAGATCTTTTCCTTCCCTAGCCACTCATAGTATTTTGATTATATTTGAAAATTATCTTTTAGAGTGGTATTTGTCTCAGGGCTAAGATGGGGAGTAGACACCTAGTCTTACAGTTTTGCATCTTCAGAACCCAGCACCTAGAATTTAGTACATCATAAACTTCATTACATGCTTGTGGAAATAAAAGGAGAAGGAGGACTAAAGCTTGTATCAAAATGAAAGTGAAATTCACAGCAACAAAAGCATTACTCACAAAGAAGTCTGGTCCAAGATGGTGACAGAGGAGACTTCTGAATTTACTGCCTCCTATGGACACACCAATTCTACAGCTACACATGGAATAGTTCTTTCTGAAAGATATCTAGAAACTATCTCATAAACTACTATGGATTAGGTGAAAGTAGACAGCTTAAAAATAGACTCTTATAGATGCTTTATATAAGCCTTATTGTAACCAAAAAGCAAAAATCTATAATAAATACACAAAAGATAAAAAGAAAAGAATCCAAGCATATCACTACAGAAAATCAAGTCACAAAGGAAGAGAGCCAAATAAGAAGAAAGAAACATAGGAATTATAAAATATATAGAAAATAATTAACAAACTGCAAACAGTATGCATCTATGAAAAATTACTTTAAATGTAAATAGACTAAATTCTTCAATTAAAAGATCCAGAGTGGCTAAATAGATAAGAAGAAGAAGAAGAAGAAGAAGAAGAAGAAGAAGAAGAAGACCACCAAACTATATGCTGCCCATAAGAGACTCACTTCAACTTCAAGGACATAAACAGAGTGAAAGTGAAGGATTAGAAAAAGATGTTCTCTGCAAATGGAAGCAACAACAACAATAACAACAACAACAACAACAGAAAGGGAAAGCTATACTTATATCAGACAAAATAGAATTAAGCCAAAGAATGTAATAAGAGACAAAGAAGGTTATTGTATAATGATAAAGACATCAAAACAAGAATCTATAACAATTGCTAAATATTTATTCACCTCCACATAGGTGCACCTAAATATATAAAGCAAATATGAACAGATCTGAAGGGAGAAACGTACAGCAATACAATACCCCATTTGAACAATGGACAGATTATCCAGATAGAAAATAAATGAAGTGCTTAAATTATACAATAGACCAGGTTAATTTTACAGGTATTTACCTAACATCCCACCCAATAGCAACAGGATACATATTCTTCTCCAGGTGTCCATATAACATTCTTCAAGATAGATCATAGTTGGGCTACAAAACAAGTGTTAATAAATTTAAGAAGATAGGTGCCTGCATGGCTCAGTCAGTTAAGTGTCCAACTTTGGCTCAGTTCATGATCTCACGGTTTGTGAGTCTGAGCTCCATGTCAGGCTCTATGCTGACAGCTCAGAGCCTGGAGCCTGCTTCGGATTCTGTGTCTCCCTCTCTCTCTGCCCCCACCCCCCACTCACTCTCTCTCTCTCAAAAATAAAAACTAAAAACATTTAAAAAATTAAAAAATAAATACATAAATAAACTTAAGAAGGTTGAAATCATATCAAGCATCTTTTCCAACCAAATTTTATGAAACTAGACATCAATTACATGAAGAAAACTGGACAATTCACAAAATGTAGATATCAAACAACATGCTACTAAACAATAAAAAAAATGAGTGAAATAAAAAATCAAGAGAAATAAAAATAATCTGGAGAAAAATAAAAAATGGAAACACAACATACCAAAATTGATAGGATGCAGCAAAAGCAGTTTTAATAGGGAAGTTTATATTGATAAATACCTACATTAAGAAAAAAGAAAGAGTTCAAATAACCTAACATTATACCTCAGGGAAATAGAAAAGGAAAAATTAAAAAGCCCAAAATTAGTAGAAGAAAGAAATAATAAAAATTAGAGAAGAAATAAATTAAATTGAAGCTAAAAAGACAATAGAAGAGATCAATGTAACTAGCAACTGGGTTTTTGAAAACATAAAATTGACAAACATTTAGTTAGCCTCACCAGGAAAAAAGAGAGGACTAAAATAAATAAAATTAGAAATGAAAGAGGAGACAGTACAACTGTTACCACACAAATAAAATAATCATAACAGTCTAATATTAACAATTATATGCTAACAATTGGACAACCAAGAATAGATAAATTCCTAAAAGCATAAACCCACTAAATCTGAATCATGAAATAGAAAGTCTAAACAGAACAATTACTACTAAGATTGATTCTCTAATAAAAGTCCTCCAACAAAGAAAAGGCCAGAACTAGATGGCTTCCCTGGTGATTTCAAACATTTAAAGAATTAACAACAATTCTTCTCAAACTCTTCCAAAAAATAGAAGAGGAAGGGTGTGCCAGGATGGCTCAGCCGGTTAAGCCTTCGATTGGGTTTCAGCTCAGGTCATGATCCTATGGTTTGTGATACAGACCCCACATTAGGCTCTATGCTGATAGCATGGAGCCTGCTAGGAATTCTCTCTCTCCCTCTTTCTGACCCTCTCCTACTAATGCTCTCTCTCTCTCTCTTTCTCTCTCTCTCTCAAAATAAATAAACATTAAAATAATCTTAATTTTTTTTAAATGGGAGAGAACATTATCAACTGAACAGCCTTATTCTCCTACCAAAACCAAACAAAGACATTAGAAGAAAAAAACTTGCACGCCAATATCACTGATGAACATACATGCAAAAATCCTAAATAAAATATTAACATACTGAATTCAATAATACATTAAAAGGATCAAGTGGTAAGTGGGAATAATTGTAGGGAAACAAGCAAGGTTCAAGAAATACAAATCAATGTGATGTACCACATCAACATAATAAAGATTAAAAATACATGATTATCTTCATAGATGCAAAAAAATTGACAAAAATTAAATATCCACTCACTATATAAACTCTCAATAAACTGGGTATAGAGGGAACTTATGTCAACATGATAAAGGCTATGTATGACAAGCCCACAGCTAATATATTCAATGGTGAAAAGTTGAAAGTTTTTTCTTTAAGAATAGGAGCAAGATAATGCCCCTCTTTCCACTTTTATTCAACATAGTGTTAGAATCCCAACCAGAACAATTAGGCAATAAATAGGAATAAAAGATGTCCAAATTGTAAAGGAAGAAGCAAAATTGTCTCTGTTTAAGAATAATTTAATATTATCATATATAAAAAACCCTAAGAACTTTAAAACTAATAAATTATTTCAGTAAATTGTGGAATACAAAGTCAACACACAAAAAATATGTTTCTATACACTAATAGCAAACTATCAGAAGGAGAAATTAAAGTAATTCCATTTATCATTTCTTAAAAAAATAAATTTAACTGAAGAGGTGAAAGATTTCTACACTAAAAAATTATAAGATACCAATAACAGAAATTGAAGAAGACACCTATAAATGGAAAAATATTTGATGTTCATGTACTGGAAGAATTAAAATGTCTATACTACCCAAGCAATCTCTATCAAAATTCCAATAGTATTTTTCACAGAAATGGGCAAACAATTCTAAAATTTGTATGGAGCCACAAAAGACTTCAAATAACCAAAGCAATCTTAAGAAAGAACAAACCAGAGGCATCACACTTTCTGGTTTCAAATTGTATCACAATGCAATAGTAATAAAAACAGTATGGTATTGGCATAAAGGTATACAATGGATTAGTGATATAGGATAGAGAGCACTGTGCTCTCCTGTGAATCAGGAGATCAATGGAACAGAACAGAGGTCAGAAATAAACCTGTGAATATATGGTCAATTAATAGATGACAAAGATCCAAGCATATACAATGAGGAAATGATTGTACCTTCAAAAAATGGTGGTAAGAAAGTTGGACAGCCACATGCCAAGGAATGAAACTGGACCACTATCTTACACCATACACAAAATTAATTCAAAATGGATTAAAGACTTGATGGGGTACCTAGATGGCTCATTCGGTAAGTGGCGACTTTGGTTCAAGTCATGATCTTTCAGTCCATGGGTTCGAGCCCCACATCAGGCTTTGTGCTGAAAGCTCAGAGCCTGGAGCCTGCTTCTGATTCTGTGTCTCCCTCTCTCTCTGCCCCCCCTACACCCACACCCCACTCATGCTCTCTCTCTCAAAAATAAATAAAGATTAAAAAAAATTTTTTTTAAATGACTTGAATGAAAGACCTAAACCATAAGACTCCTAGAAGAAAACAGAGGGGTTGGCTCCTTGACATTGGTGACGTCAATGATTTTTTGGATTTAACACCAAAAGCAAAGACATCAAAAGCCAAAATAAACCGGTGGATTTGCATCACACTTAAAAGATTCTGTACAACAAGGGAAACCATCAACAAAAAGAAAAGGCAACCTACAGAACGGAAGAAAATATTTGCAAATCATGTATATGATAAGGGATTAACACCCAGAATTTATAAAAAGCTTACATAACTTAATAACAAAAAAGCATCTGATTAAAAAATAGAGGATCTGAATAGCCATTTTCCCAAAGAGGACATACAAATGGGCAATAAGGGCATAAAAAGATGCTCAACATCACTAATTATGAAGGAAATTCAAATCAAAATTACAACGAGATGTCACTTAACACCTGTTGGAATGGCTATTATCAAAAAGAAGAGATAACAAAAGTGCTGGCAAGGATATGGAGAAAAGTAAACATTTGTGTACCTTTTGTAGGAGTGTTAATTGTTATGGTCATTATGGAAGACACTATGAAAGTTCCTCAAAAATTTAAAAATTTAAAAATAAAACTACCATATGCTCTAGCAATTCTATTTCTGGGTCTTTCATGTATATATGAAAGAAATACATATTCTTTCATGTATATATGAAAGAAACAAAGTCACTATCTTGAAGAGATATCTATACTACTATGTTACTTACAATAGCCAAGACATAGAAACAATGTAAATATTCATCAATGGATGAATGGATAAAGGTGTTGTTGTTATTATTATTATTACTATTAATTATTATTCAGGCATAAAAAGAAGGAAATCCTGCCATTTTTGACATGGACGAACCTCAAGAGCATTACATTAAGTGAAATAAGTCAAACAAAGAAAGATCAATTCTGTATGATCACACTTATTTGTAGAATCTGAACTCATAAAAACAGAAAACAGATTGGTAGTTGGTAGTTGTCAGAGTTGGAAGGGTGGCCTATGGGAGACATGGGTGAAGGTCAAAAGGAACAAACTTCCAGTTATAAGTCTTGGAGATGCCATGTACAGCATGGTAACTATAGTTATTGTGTTGAACATTTCACAATGTATACATAACTAAATCATTATGTTGTAGTCCTTAAATTATTATAATCTTATGTGTCCAGTGTATCTCAATACAACTGGAAAGAGTATTAACCACATATTAGAGCTAGTAATTAGAGGAATCAAATATAGTACTTAATGTTCCCTGATCAGTATTGTTTTTCTTTAATCCATCTGTCTTTGTAAAGTGTTTTAATGGCACTACCTGTATTAAAAATCACACAAACTTCTGAATAAGATTTGTAAACTCTAAAGCAATAAATAATCATTTTTAAAAACAAAATTGTACAGAAATCTATTAACTGCCTTTGGGGATAGCTGTTATCCACACCATGGTGTTAGACTATATTTGGTTGATGCTTATAAAAGTTCTATAAAAGAGAGTTCTGTTATAATCCTTAAAGCTTGATGACTGAAATTTCTTTCTTTCTTTTTTTTTTTTTTTGTTCTGAGTAAAGACCAGATAAAATATGCTGCCTGGTTTTTATTGAGGAAAATATTCCCTTGTAAGATAATGTAAAATATCCTATGATTTCTAGAAATGTATTCACTAAAGCAAAATGGATCAATTTGCCAAAAATTAAATGAAGCAATATTCAATCTAACCATCTGGGCAGGATGATATTTGTGTACCTAAACTCTTCTTGACATTTTCATTGGTTAAGGAATTACTCTTCACTTCATGACTCAAAGTTGCTTATGCTTCAGTAAAAACATCTGCTTAGTCTCTTTCCTGAAATGACTATTCAAAAATTATAAATAAAGCAGTATTTGAAAGTAATTCATATATTCATTTATAAATTACCTGGAAGTTTTAGATTTAAAAAGTAGGTATTTTATATACATTTTTACAATTCTATACGCTATATGTACAATTTCTCATCACCACAATGTTAAGAAAATCATCAATGAAAATATTTCCTTTGTAAGAAAAACCACTAATACGTGAACATGCCTTTTGGGGAAAAAAGGTTATAATCCCTTTCAATAATCTGAAATCCAATTCTTTTCCCTCAGAAATGAACACAGTTTTTGGTTTGATGACCTCCTCCAAAAACAATTTTGTATACTGATTAAGTGTAAAACATATACCTGTAATTTTAAGTATTAACATAATATGTTTTGTGTCACAATTTGATTTTCTTCAATTATTAATCTCTTTCTTTTAAACTGTACATACCAAGAATGTATTGCAGATTTTTTAGTCATTCTTCAATTTGAAAGGGATTTAGGTCATTTATTTACTTATTGTTGTTTATATCCAACACTATTTGAGGCTTTACTCTGTACCCTTACCTTAAGTGGTCTAAATAAATTATGTAATTTATTTTTCACAAAAACTCAATAAATAATTTCTGTTATTGTCCCTACTTTACAGGCAAGGACTAGAGAGAGAAAACAAGGTCACACTGCTAGTAAGGTGTGGTTTCAGGATTCAACTTCAGTAAATCTAACTCCAAAACTGTGCTCTTTTCTGCTATTTTGTATATTTCGCTACTGCTATTTCAAACATTGGCCTTCAACTCTTAAAAGACCACCAGGAAAATCTGTAACCAGGCAATGGTAGGTTGATTAGATTGACTTCAATAAGAGAGAATATCAAGTTGACATGGTCTTAGGGATGTCTTGGAAAAGGGAATCAGGATTTTAAGATTTGGGCAAGGTGACTTTTTAAGAAAGTCTTACATGGTAAAGAACTGAGTGGGATTGAGCAGAATTTATAACATAACACTTTCAAATTGGTGGGAACAGACAGGTGAGGTTCTGGAAGAAAATTTTGACAAGAAATCTGTTACTCTTGATGAGTTAGCCTGTATTATAATTGATTATTAGTCTTATCTTCCTGGAGCGTATATCTAAGTTCTTTTGCCTGTTCTTGATATTATTTAACAATGGGACAGGAAGGTATATTTATCTTCTCACCAATACTGATACAGTAAAAAGAGTTTTGCATGACCGTTCATGTATGTGCACAATAGTTTTCCACTTTTTTTTTTTTAAGCTTATTTATTTTGAGAGGGAGAGAAAAAGAGAGGGAGAGCAGGGAAGGGTCAGAGACAGAGGAAGGAAGAGAATTCCAACCAGGCTCTGCAATGTGAATGTGGAACCTGATGTGGGGCTCGATCCCATGAACTGTGAGGTCATGACCTGAGCCAAAATCAAGAGTTGGACACTCAACCAACTGAGTCACCCAGGCACCCCATGCACAATATTTTTCTATGATAGATCTGTAGAAGTTGAAATTCTGAGGCTCTACATTTGTGTATTTTTTAAATTAACAGGTACTGTCAATTTGTGTTCAATAATGCTATAATAATTAACATTTCCAACAAAGATATATGATGCTCAATTCCCCATACTCTCACTAACACTATATATGATCAAGCTATTAATTTTACCAACCTGGTAAGAGGAAAGTGCTGTTTTATTTGATATTTTAATTATAACTCCCTTGATGTTTCCCCTATATTTTCCTAACAAATTTGAACAACTTTCTTATGGTCCTCATTTGTATTTTGTCTTCTGTGATGTATTTGGTTTTTCCCTTTGTCATTTTTTTTTTCCTATTGATTTGCAGGACTATTTCATATAATAGAGTTTCTTGCTCATGTGTTTAAGGAATGGCTTGGTCAGCTCTGATAAAAGACTTCCACTGAGTTCAGGTAATTTCACCTGTACCAATTTTGGACTTTGGTTGAGGACAGCAGATACAGGGAACATTTACTTTTCATGGAGGAAATGGAAGTTCCTAGAGAGGTGAGTGGAAATATGTGATTTCTCCTCAGAGTTAATATATCTTCACTTCCATCCATATTTTACTGCTGAAAACAAATCACATGGACCATCTCCAAATCAATAGGGTGGCTGAATTTACTCTTCTCATGGGTGTCACAGGAAGAAGGTAGTAATTATTTGTGAACAAAAATCTAATCTACTCACTTATAGTTAAAGTGCACTCTAGCTTAAGCCCTACCAGAAGATAGTCATGATGCAGACTTTAGTGAATATCATCTCTATATATGTTTTTGTAACTACTGAACAAATATAATACATGTGTATATGAAATACATTGCATAAATTGTTGTATTCATGATTTATCCATGTTTAAAAAATAATCACTAATAGACATGAACAAATTCTCAATCTAGTAAGTAAGGGAAACAAATTTAAATAATAGGATATAAAATTTTGTCTCTTTTATACAAATAAATGTGATAACCCTTAGTGTTGGTGTGTAACTATGAACTGGAGATTTTTATTTATTGGTAGTGAAAGTATTTATGGAGAAATAGGGATTTGGTTTTGACTCATCAATCTGAAGTTTCACAACCCCTACAATAAAAGCAACTTCCCTTGTCTTTCTGGAAAAAATTACATAATGCAGGAACTTTCTATTTTTTCAAAGTTTTATAAAACTCAGCCACATAAACTTTGGGGACTAATGTATATTTTGTCATAAAACATGGACTACACTTTTTTCCTATGGTTATTATACTATACAGAATTTTTTCTTGATTTGTGAATAAAATTAGATAATTTGTGTTTTTCCATTAGATATTATTATTCAGGGACCCTATTGATATCTATATTTTCTCTGTATATCTCTCCTTGGTTTCCAGCACTGCTCTGAGGAATTGCCACTTTTTAAATCTATAGTTTACATGGCTTGGTTTGGGGATGTGAGATAAGCCAGTCTATCTAGGTTATCAACGTGATTTCCTCTATTCATTAAAGCTGTGAGCCAGGACAGACAACGTGTTAAATGTGTTATCTTTGACATGCCACATCTCCAAATTTTAACACTTAGTATACATACTTCAAATTTCTAATTACTCAAAGGGTAATGCATATAGAAATCCACGTTTATTTTTTTTAATGTATTTTATTTGAGAGAGAAAGCATGCATATGCACAAGTAGGAAGGGACAGAGAGAGAGAGGGAGAGAGAGAATCCTAGGCAGGCTCCATGCTGTGAGTGCAGCATCTGACTTGGGGTTCTGTCTCAAGAATCATGAAATCATGACCTGAGCTGAAATCAAGAGTCAGATACTTAACTGACTGAGCCACCCAGGTGGCCCTAGAAATCCAAATGTTTAGGTTTCCAAGAAAATGTAGTAATTTCCAATGAGACTTGTTACTGCTCTTGACCATGATTATATCAGAGAAAGTCTCATTGATTTGACATCTTTTTTCTCTTTTCTTTCAGCTAGCACTAGGTAAGAAGTCAAAGGTGGTGATGTTATTATTTCTTCCTCAGTTTGCTCTATAGTACATATTCTGTGTTTCACTGTTTTTATGTTCATGAAAATTCTTCATGTTCACATGACTTGAGGAATGTGGCCAATTTTCAAATTGAAATGGGGGATGAAACTTAATGTTATCTGGCCAACTCAGAAAATAATCTTGATTTTGAGATTCATATTTGGACAAATTATAGCTACTTCATTCTGTATAATTAAAGTTTATGTGCACATTTTTATATACATATTTTACACAGGTTTTAGTAAATGTTTATATGGATTACTGCAATGTATTACAGATATTTTAATTAAAAAATTTTTTTTATGTTTATTTCTGAGACAGAGAGAGACAGAGCATGAGTGGGGGAGGGGCAGAGAAAGAGGGAGACACAGAATCAGAAGCAGGCTCCAGGCTCTGAGCTGTCAGCAAGAACCCCACACGGGGCTTGAACTCACAAACCATGAGATCATGACCTGAGCCGAAGTTAGTCGCTCAACTGACTGAGCCACCCAGGCGCCCCTATAGATATTTTAGAAATTATCTAGTTTTTCTACGCACAAAAAATTATCTGGAGTTTGGAGTCTCACATTTTTTTTCTAAGACAGAGAATTCCAGTTATATTTTATGAACTTAACTGAAGTTGGGAAGATAATAAAGGCAATAATGCAAAAGTTAGAAAGTTGAGTTATTCTAAATTATGAATATAAATAATTGAGGTGTTTGGACAATTTGTAGAGTTGGATCTCTCAGAGTTTGCTCTTGACCAAGAGCAGAATAAAAATCTGCCTAATTAAAAAAAAAAAAAACTTTAAGATGAAATTAGTGGCAAAACAATCATCACAACCCACCTGCTCTGCCCAAGCGATCCTCATTGATAACTAATAATTCATCCAAAAACCTTTCCATATTCCTTACATTACAGTTTTACAAAATATTTTTCCACATAAATATATAATATGGCTGCTACAAATACAACCTTACCTCAAAGTTATTTGGTGAGAGAGTAACTAAAGTTCCTATTATTTATTTTCTCACCAAGGACTTTGGGCTAAGGTTATATTTAGAATATTCATTGAGTAGCCACACCAGTCCCAACCAACTGGCCCATAATGAATTAGCCTGCTGTCTAATATATTTCAAAAATGAGATGAGATACATATTTTAATGTAACCCCAAATGTTCTTTTTATAAATAGACAAAATATCTCAGCTTCAAATTCACAGTTTATATATATCAAAATTAAAAGGACATAGTGGGATTTTAACATATTTGAACAAATTTGGAGGTCTCAAGCTGCAATTGTGTTTTAAAACTTCTTTGTATGAACGAAATTGCTATTGGAAATGATAATTGCATTTCTCAAATACCAATATAATTCCAAACATTAAAAAATTCAACACATTCCCACTCATTATTTGTACTTCAAGCATAGTGCTGTTCATATTCTAATTAATCATTATCATGTAATTTCTAATTACCTCAATTTTAAACCATTAAAAATTAGAAGATCAAAGTTTTAAATGATAGTCGCAATGAATTAGCCACCAAGAGTTGTGAGAGAATTGAATTTAATATAAGAAAAGAAAAATCTATTATTTTCAAATGTCATTTTTTTCATTAAGTGAATTTTACTTTGTATTAGCTGAAAATACCATATCCGGTAATTTTAGAAGTAAATTGAAAGACCTAATTATTGAGAGGAAAGATCAACTGATTAACAAGATAATATTTCAAAAGCTTCTATTTCCTCTAATGATACAAAACTATAACATATTAATATATTTTTGCTGTTGACTCATCCCAGAACAATTTTCAGTTTTCCAAATGAGAGAGTACTGCTAAATAATCTATAACATTTTACAGAACAAACTTCACCAAAGTGCATAGTTTCTTTCTATGCCACAGAGGTGATCATAGGAGATCAAAGTGAATTGAAATTTTATGTAAATATCAATTAAAAGAACTTCGGTTCTGACAAAAATAAATCCCATTTCAACAAGCGAATGAGCTCAAGTGACATCACTGTTGGGCTAGTGGAGGAGGGTAACATTCAAAGTGCTTTAGGGGTAAAATAGCAGTTTCTTTTGGAGGTTCAGAGTTCTAATACAGAAAGTAAATATGTCATGTTCACCTAAATAAATACTTTTTAGAATAATAGCTGAAAGTTAATTCCAAATTCAGAGAATGCAAACTCTGAGAAGTTTTATAGTAGAGCAGTGGAAATAAAGAGCTAATTTAGTAGACATAGAAAAATGTAAGACAAGGAAATCTATACAATAATAACATGAGAAGCAATTTAAAACTGGGACAGACCAAAGGGGTCCATGATTCACTGTGAAATTTAAACATGATTAATAGGAAGCGATGAGTTGAAATCATATTTTGCCATTTAAGGCACTGGTGTTAAGGGCAAGTTTAAATGAAAGAGCTGTTCCCAACAAAAGGTAAGAGTTCTGCTAAAGATAATTAGGATCAAGTCTCATTTACATGAACAAACAGTTTTAAATAGTTACAAAGTTTGCTGGTGTCATTTTGTTGTAGATGGAGTAGAAAATATAAAGGATAAGTTGGAGGGAAAAACAATTCTCTAAGAAAATTGAAAAAAAAAAAAAAAGAAACATATCCTGGATTTAAATAGGTGTGTCATAGGAAAAAAAGTAGTATAGCAAAATAATTACTTTATTTTTCAAAGTACAACCCCAGGCCAGAAAATAAAACAGGAATTATGGATTTCCAGATATACAAATATAAAATCTTTTAATACTTATAGGATTAGATCTCAGATCTGAAACATAAAAATATAATTATTTTTAAAAAGCCCTATGTTACCCAAAGAAATATAATCAACTGGAAGTTTGAGGAGGGTAAGAAATTTTAGGCTCTATGGAAATACATAGACCTCATTTGGACAAGACTAAAAGAAGACAAGAGAAGTAATTACATTGTAGTAGTGTACTACTGCCTTCCATGAAGAAAGAGGGTATTGGAATTTCTTTTTTCCAGTAAAGTTTGTTGAGCCATTTCGGTGGGAAATCGTAGAGTGGTTATATGTAATACAGAATATATGAAATGTTTCCCTTTTCTAAATTCAAATTTCCATGAAGGCTTAATTTGCCTTGCTGAGCACCAAAAGGATAGAGGAACAATGAGGTGGTGTTTTTTGAGATTTTTTTTCCATATCAACAAGGAAGAGCCAGTTCATAAATTGAAAATGATAAGAATGCAGTGGGAATTGACCCTACATTCCATATGTGTAATGCTGGAGGACAGTCAACTGCAAACTAAAGATTGAGTTGTTTCCTCCTTTGAGGTTCTCCATTGATAAGAACTCAATTACATTGCACTGGCATTAACTATTGATATTCCATTTTCCCAGATAAACTTTGAACCCTTCAAAATCAGCCATAATATTTTATTCATCTTCCTTAATGCATAGCACAATATGTCTTGTTTGGAAATTCAATGCAGTTGATCCTCATTTTTCATAGATTCTGTATTTACAAATTTGCCTACTGA